GGTTTTCATTCAGTTTTGGACGACATGGAAAGACGGCCCAAATATTTTCTCTATTTTTGCCTTTCATATTGTTTTGTTAAAGTGCCGTCAAACTGGGTGGTGGCTGTCCATGCCTTTAATTCTAGCATTTAGGGTATAGAGGCAGGCAGACCTCCATGAGTTCGAGGTCAGCCTGGTCTACAGGTGAGTTCTAGGACAGCCAGGGCTACATAAAGGACCTGGTCTTGTAAAACAACAATCAAAGCACCATCAACTTGTCTTTGTCAACTATTTTTACTTACTATTCTTTTACATTTTGTCTTTATTTGTTCTGTTTATGTTATATTTAAAGCAAAGTGTCATTATGTAGCCCAGGCTAGCTTCCAACACAGAATCTTGAGAGTTGACTTCTAAAGTGCTTAGATTACATAACTATATCATTATGCCTGGCTCTTGCCAATTTTAAACAAAGCAATAGTAATAATTTGTGTGTCATAAATTGGAGAAAGGGGGAAAACTTGAAAGGTTGCTGATTGGCTTGCTGTTAAATATAAATAGAAATGTTTTCTGCTAATGAGAGGATGGAGTTTTCTTGATCTTTTAAAAACTAAACATAAGAATAAATTTGGCATGTGTACAACTTGTGCTAGAGTTTTGTACCCAGATCCCTTTTCTGCTCTCTGCAGTATTACTTATTTTATTGATAAGTTGTAGATGGTTAAATGAAACCAAGTCCCCAGGCAGTATATAATAAATGTTTTCTAGTATCTCTCAAAAAACAGGAAAAGGTACCTTAATTTTGGATTCAATAAAACTTTTGTTTTCAAGAAATCTTTTTCCTTAGTCTGCCTGGCTCGATCCGAGGCATTCCTTACCTGACTCTCTGGCAGAGGAGAGAAATTTCACTCTGCAGAATCCTTTAATCCCTTGCTATATTAAGGATGATATTTGGACAAACAGCATCAGCTCCTCATGGGCTTTGATAGAGCAGCAAAATCTCAGGCTTCATATCTAAATCAAGTCTGCATTTTAACAAGATTTCTGGATGATTTCTATACACATGAAGTTTGAAAACCACTGTCCTATTTTTTTAAGCCAAAACTTTTCTGAATCTTCTATATTATTTTGAGCCTGAGAGCTTATGCATTTGGATAAATATTCTTCTCTATCACAGGAAGAATCCTGATATCTAGAACCAGTTTCAACCCACTGCCATCCCATGACCATACAAAAAGCTTAAGGCTTTATCCATAAGGTTCCCAAATGCACAGCTACTATTATTGATGACTGGGGCTTTTTTGTTTATTATGTTTTGAGATCTGAACCATTGCATTAATGACTTCATCTCTTCAAACACAATGCAAACACTCAAGATATACACTATAGTTAAATTTCCATAAATCATCACAAAACCACTCTGATCCCATATAGAGATAAAAAACAAATCACTGTTTTGCCAGGGGAAATGCATTTTAAAGTCCACCATTTGACATTTTTTTGAATGTGGTTTTACAGTCTCATACTTCATAAAACTTGAATTTTATGTGTGGTTCTCTCTCTCTCTCTCTCTCTCTCTCTCTCTCTTTCACACACACACACACACACACATACACACACACACATACACACACACACACACACACACACACACACACACACACACTATCTTTGATGCACAAATGAATGTTGGGCCATGACCTAACGGTATGCTTTCCAAACAAACACTACAGACTCAAGCCTGACCTTCTTTCATCCAATTATTTTGAACTGCTTGAGGTCCAGAGATGGTTTTACAGCAGAACACTTATGTCTAGCAGTTCATTGAAAGATCAGAGTGAGGAATGGGATACAAAGATTCAGAGAAATCACTCAGAGTATCTCAGCAAAATTTATCACTGAATTTGAAAAGCCACTACTGTGTTTTAAAAATCCTCATGACTGGCATTGATACTACACAGTCTTATACCTTTGCACGACTTTCAGACCTGTGTGTATTTGCGATCCATTCTAATTGTAGGCTTCTAATTATTGTCACTTGATTTAGGTAAGCATCAGAATAATGCTTGCTTTCTTGCAACCATTTCTCCATTCTACATCCCTGAAAGTCCACAAAGCAGTTCCATTTCCTTTATTGAAAATAATTTCTCTCTCTTAAAAATTTATTTGTATAAAAAGATGTTTAATCTACTAAAGAAGGTTTACTCTTAAGGGTTCCTAAGTCTTCTCATGAGCTTCTCTGGTCATTACTAAGAGTACCATATATGGTTCTGCTGCAGTGTGTGAGCAACTACTCCCATCCACCATTTAACAGACTGATTGCATGTGAGTGGGTGTTTTTAAATACTTATTTTCTTTAGCTAGACAAATCTAACCCACGATAGGGATAAGTAAAATTAAACGGATTATTTATTTCATGGTTTCCTTTCCATTTGACTGTGTCAAATGTTTTGTGACTATAACCAGTGGCCCAAATGTGCTATTATTCTCAAATGCATTGATTACGGAACTGTTTTCCATAAAATTCATTATAAGAGTAATGTTTCTTAGAACAGTAATAAAGATTTGCTAACAGTGCCTAGGAGACCCATAGTGCCCACACAAAAATGAATACTACAAGGGAGTTACAAGCTAAATTTTTAGAAACGAAGTGTTTGAATCAAAAAGCTTTCGAAGTGCCACTTATATGCCTAAAAGGCAGAGAGTCAAATGGTTCTTACTATGATTCTCTAAGAAATGAACTCATATCTAATTCATATCTACTGTCAACGTCCCAATACCATTGACCTACGACTCTCATGCATTGCTGACTGGTTGGAACAGGATATTACTAGTAGGTTAAATCTACTAATAAGGGCTGATTATGATGATAGTAAGAGGTAAACCCAGTGCAAACACTTACCAATGCCACTGAAAATAAAACTTAGTCCATTCTGAATGGACTAAGCTACCTTAATGTACCACTATCAAAAAACACTGTGTTTTCACCAATTAATCTCATATTCTTGTTCTCATTGTTTCCCATGGTTTAATGTCTTGGTGTATTTTTATATTACTAATAAAGTAAAATTATAAAATTGAACATTGACTTAATAAATAATAAGATATGTGCAGACTGACAGTAATGAGAGAAAAACCTAGCCAGGCAGTGGTGGCACACGCCCTTAATTCTAGCATTTGAGAGGCAGAGGCAGGTGGATCTTTGTGAGTTCAGGTCAGCTTGGTCTAATTCCAGGACAGGCTCCAAAACTACAGAGAAACCCTGTATCAAGAGAGAGAGAGAGAGAGAGAGAGAGAGAGAGAGAGAGAGAGAGAGAGAGAAACCTTTTTAAAATACCACATTGTGCAATAAAATAATGTCCCATTTGTAAGGACTTGTTCAATTATTATGCATCTGTATTTAAAGGTGACAGTCCTACTTAGATCTCTGGTGATGCTTTTATTTACTGATATTTGGAAACAAAATTGTCTCCAACTCAGGTTTTCTATACATTTATAAACGTACATACATAAATGTGAATCCTGATCAGAAGTGATGTCATGGCATGAGTTCATGTCATTTTCTTTCTTACAGGTGAATTGCAATTAATTTGTGCTTTTTGCATTCATATCCTATTTAAATTTAGCATGCAGGTTGTAGGCTTTGGTGATACAACCAAAAATAATGTAATGACTCAGATTTAGGAATTTTATGATTAAAAAATATTAATGAAGCACTTCAATACACGGCTACCATCTGATGTGTTCTAAAGGAAATCTAATTATTTTCATTACGAATACTGTGTAAGTCAGGTCATCCACATTTGCATTTATTTCCTCTTAGTTCTTAATCACTCTGAGAGACTGCTAAGCTTTCCTCTAGAGGAAATTCTAATAAAATATAGTCACTTAAAACTCCACAATGTGTTTCAATGTAGTCTATGGTGTTAGTTATTTAATAACAAACCAAAGGTAAGGAACTTCACCAGTTTCTAATTTGTTTTGCTAATTTTGAAATTACTGGACCAGTTTCCAGAATTGTAACCTTCAACTATCCATCTAAAAATATTTTTAAAGACAGAATGTGACATTTCTTTACATGCCATATGTAAAGACAGTGCATGCTTCTGCTTGAGGGATATATTTTGGGCTACGTTAGATCACTCTATTAATTATTAATATACACTAGATTCTTTTGCATATATCTCTTAAAATACTTCTTACAGCTCAATATGTACTATTCCTTGAACTTATGGTTCCTATGCTTGTATGTTAAGAGTCAAGGGTTAAAAGTATCATTATAACAGTATACCGTTATTACATGCTTGAGAATACCCACTGATGAGCAGCATATGGGTCCCCGAAATTAGTATAAATGAATAGCAGCATTCATTTGCCAAATGAATGGACTGTGTATTTTTAAGGAACACTATCCATTCAGTTCCACTAAAAACGACTAGACCCAGTAGCATTTTTGAGAGTTCCAAAATCTTAATGAGAAAAAAAAAAAGATGTTTTTTGAGATGTAGGATGTAAATATTGAAGAACCAATTACTCATTTCTTCATGGTGGCTTCTTTGGTGACATGAACCCAAATATGTTACAATTAGAATATTCTATATTAGAGGAGGTCTCATATCATTCAGCACTAAACTAACCACTTGAATGCTTTAATTTTTTTTCTTTCATCATATCTTATGCATGATCTAAGGTCATGTGATAATGTGATCATGTTTCATAGATAAGGGAATATTCACAACCACATAGATCTACATCTGTACCCCATGTGCACCACTTCCTACTTCTAAAAGGAGGATTCTGTACCCTTTCCCTCAGCCTCTGACACCTTGTGTGCGTCTAATGATCTCTCCCTTATGGTGAGGTTGAAAGGTTTCATTAGACTTCAAAATGCTTAGATTGCTACTTCACACATCACACGCTCTTTGCAGGTTCTGATAAATACAGAGGCCAGCTGCTGCACAGGTGTTCAGAAACAGCTGTGTTTTGTTTCTGTTTTGTGCAGTCATGTGTGCTTCCTCTTACAGATGGATATACAACTGATGACATCGAGTTTTACTGGCGCGGCGATGATAATGCAGTCACCGGGGTGACGAAGATCGAGCTCCCTCAGTTCTCCATCGTAGATTATAAACTCATCACCAAGAAGGTGGTCTTCTCTACAGGTTTGTAGCGGGAGGGGGGCTTCAGCAAAGAAAACTTCGGCACATTTTTTTTTTTAAGCATTTCTTTTCTTGGGACTGTTTCCTAGGAACCAACAATATAGAAGCCATCCTATAGCTCCTATTTCCCAAGAGGTCCTATATTACCGTTCAGAAACACAGCTTTTTTCTGAAGTCAATTTCAAGCAGAGCCCAGCCCTTCTCCTCTTTTCTCATATGCAATAGACAAAGAAAGGCAGAGGAATTAGGATCTGGGTCAGACATAGGTGGATTTTTTTATCACATTTTTGTCAGTTATTATGGGTTGCCAAGGGCAGTTCATTCAGCACCTATCACTGTAGCAAGGCATCCTTTAAACTCAGTACCCTAGAAGGCCACATTTTTCTTAGAGCATGGGATTTGCATTAGCTCCACCTATTCTTTGTGCTAAGGTCTTCCAAATGTTGAGATGACCCGGGCCCCCTTATCACTTTGTCTCTTACATCTGAGATGTTGTGGGTGGTCGCATGAGCTCATGTGCAAAGGATGTAAGAAAGCATTCATTTGCTAGAAACTTCTTTGGTGAAAGTAATAAGCTTGCTGGAATATTCCCCTTGGTGTTTTTTCTTGTTGAAATGAATCCAACAGGCACATAAATAACTATTGCTTTAGATTTGGAGGATCGACTTTCTGCTAAGGATTCAGAAACTTGTAGAGCTGTAAACCACTTCCAGCAAAAGCTGTGTTGTGATTTCGTGAAAATGCAAAGTTGTCTCTAGCCTAAGAGGGGTGAAAAAAAAAAAGGCTAGAAGCTTTCTATAAGCCTGAGGTTCCTCAATCCCCATAACAAGGTGGAGAGGACTTCCTTGTCTTGATTTCTTTCTACAGTGTGAATCTTTTACTCTCCAAGGCTATATACTCCTACGGGTCTTTTCTGTAATGTTAACTCCCCAGAAGTCTACAATCAAAGGACAAAAACGTGTGTTTTCTTTGTTTTTTGGACTGGGGAGGGGCGGGGGTAGGGGCTGTTGTTTGGGTTTTTTGATAGCCTAGCACATACTAAGAGCTATGTCCCTAGGATGACATTGATTCTTTATATCCAAAATAATCTTATTTAAAAGTGGCAATTCTCTACATTTTCGTGAGTGATTTCTTTTTTCTTCTTTTTTCTTTTCTTTCTTTCTTTCTTTTTTTTTTTTTTGACTAGTGGTTCTCAGCGTTCCTAATGCTGAGCTCCTTTAATACTGCTTTTCACATGGTGACATGAAATAAATAAAGGGAATAAATAACATTATTTCCCTTGCTACTTCATAACTCTAATTCTGTTACTGTTTGGAATAGTAATGTAGGTATATGCTTGTGGTTTCCAATGGTCGTAGGTGACCCCCGTGAACGGGTCATTTGACCACTAAAGGGGTCATGGCTCACAGTTTGAGAATCACTGCCTTAGACAAAAAAAAGAGGAAACTGAGTGAAAACCCATGCAGAGGCCTGGGTTCTCATCACAGACAGAAGATGCCTACTATGGTTTCTGAAGATGCTTTTACTACCACTAGAGCCTACAGCCTTATTCTTATATTAAAAAAAAAAATACAGGCTAAATGTAGTAAGAGTTGAAAGAGGGAACCAAGTGTCTTCTAAATTGCACTGCCCTCACGGTTACAGAGGATGAATGTTTAGGATGTAATATATGAGGCTGAGCAGGAAGAGCAAAGAGTCTTTAGCTGAGGTAAGAACAGAATGTATTCCACACTTGAGTCTTACTGCTCATTAAAACACCTGGGATCGCAGACCAGATTTACAGGAAAAATATGCTCCTCACCAGTAGCTAAAATTACATTTAGGGAAGATGTGCAAACTTTTTATGGGCCTTTACTGGAAAATACCCTATAACTATTGATTGATAATGATGATGTTCTCAAATTGCCTTTCTAGGTTCTTACCCCAGATTGTCCCTTAGCTTTAAGCTGAAGAGAAACATTGGCTACTTTATCCTGCAGACATACATGCCGTCCATTCTGATTACCATTCTCTCGTGGGTCTCCTTCTGGATTAACTATGATGCTTCCGCTGCACGCGTTGCATTAGGTAGGTCATCTGCAAACTGTGGAGTCCTCTGTCTCCATCCTCCCTATTTCCTTTGATCCTTTCCCCCCATCTCCCTCTCTGCCTGTTTCCTTTCTCCTTCCCCATGTGTGCGTGCATGTGAGCACTTGTGTGTGCATGTGTGTGAGCACATGAACTTTCCTCACCCAGAATTTTGTGGTACACAATAAGACTGGACTTTTCCCAATACAGGACTTCACCACGAGACTTTGATGATCATCATCTGATTTAGCATTAAATCAATTAAACACAAATTAAAATTCTTCCATGTCAAAATTAGTTAATGGTAGAGCTGTTAGTAATGAAATTGGTTTCAACAGTTTGATAGTCTTATCAAAACATATTTCATGTAATAATGCTTGCATAATTGCTCAATTTGTCTCCATGCTTCTTCACCTGTGAAATGTTTCCTTTTATCCCACCCCCAGCATGGAGTTGTGCTATATAACAAATGTATAAGCAAAATTTTTTTCTGAGGGTTTATCCACATTTCTAGGCAGCATAGAGAAGGGAGGAGACGAAAGAGTCAAAATGCTGGGACATCCTTTGTAGTCCTGCTCATCATATGCCTGACTTGTGTTTTCTGTCATAATACCAGATGTGAACAAATTACATCCCATAAACATTTTGTGGGATTCAAGTAAAGTAAATTGTATGACCTCTTGCACAGATTTTTTTTTTCCCTTTAAAATAAGGGCTTGTTTGACTTCATCATAAGATCCTGATTCAGCGATTACACTCACAGAAAAGCCATTCATTTGCATTCAAAAAAACATTTGCTTGGCATCTAACATGTGCTGACACAATGAGGTAATGAAGTTGCACTTTTTCTTTTTTGAAAGTTACATTCTAGTGGTAAGAGATAGATAAGAGGCATAACAGCAAGGGGATGGAAGCAGCCTTGATGGCCACTAAGAAGAGAATGGATAACGAAAATGTGGTCCATATACATAAATAAATTTTATGCAATTGTAAAAAATGAAATTATAAAATTTGAGGAAAAGTAGATTAATCTGGAGATTACATTATGATGTTCTCAGAAAGAAAAATGTCGCTCTGCTGTAATCATATAGAAACCCTAACTTCTAATATTTGTATGTAGAAGTATGTGCATGGGTGTGAGAGAAACTGGAAATGTAATCATGAGATGTCCAAAAGAGGTCTTGAGAACAAGGAACAGCAGAGTGCATAGGAAAGCAGAAAGTTGGGTACTAGAGTAGAAAGATAAAAGTGACAGACAGAGAGCTGGAGGAGAAGATGGAAAATGAGTAATAAAAATAATGTTTGAAAATGTCATAATGAAACCTAAAACTTTGCCTGCCAATTTAAAAAGTAAAATGTAGAGCTAGAAACTGAAGAGCCACAAAACATGACAGCATCAGGCAAGTCTACAGGGGGAAGTAAGCAACATTTTGTAGCTATGCCTGGGAGTGTTGCCATGATCAAGGCTGACCTCCCCCAGAAGGTGTTACAGGAGAAAATACTTCAAGAAAATAAAGATCCAGAAAAATGTCTGAGTGGTGACAGTCTAAGGCCCTGACAAAAGCTTGGGGGTTGGAATAAATCAGGGACTTGATTGGGACCCTGCAGAGGACAGGATGGAGAGAAGTCAGAGGGAAAGAGAGTAGGCAACAGGAGACTAAGGGGTTGTGAAGGGATTCAGAGGTGTGGCTGAAAGCTTTACCTTTATTCTACGTGAAATAGAGACACTGGATAGGTATGAAATAGGGTATAATTTCAATTTTATGGTGGTAGTATTGAATGCTGTTAGGTTAGATTGAGATGGATCCAGGATAAAGGTAGGAGAGAGGAGCAGTGACCTCCAGGAATAAATTAAGTCTCTGTCATGTGTGTTCTTAGAATCACATAAATTATTTGTGTCGACTAACCACAGACACAATTTCTATTTATTAGTTTTGTGATAGTTTCCCCTAAGCATTGAGAGATCTGCTGGAATAATGTCCGTATGTAATCGTATCTCTGTGCTGTTTTAGTGTTCATAAAATGCTAATAAAGAAATGGAAGCAAGACATCCTGTTTTCATAAAGTAAAATTCTAGTATCTGTTGTGTATCTATTGTACAAAGGAGTAACTAATTGATGCTTAAGAGAAACACTTAAAATATCTTTGTATTTGAACCATTTATTTTTAGGTATGCAAGTATTTTCAAATGACATTCAGATTAATATAAAAATCAGAAATGACAGGTTTAGTAAAGTATAATATCGAATATATAGCCTGTAGTAGAAATGATTAGGAGTAAAAGGAAATTGAAAGTGTTTCAAAATGATAAAGAACATCTGAAGTCTGTGAGAAAACACCTTATCTACAGAAAAACGGGCCCAGACTTACATTCATGCAGGTACTCATGAGGTTCTCCTAAAAACAAAATGAAAACCATTAAGGAGACAAACCTAAATGAAAAATCAAAGAGAAGTTTTGAGGTATGATTTAGGATAGCTTGAAAGGTGAAGGTTTGTGACATCTGAGATCAGATGGTGAGAGTCCAAATTCCCATCATTGTAATCACGGCCTCTGTCTGGGCTTCGTCTGTTTTCTTGTCATTATTTTGCTACAAAGCTGAATTGTATCATATGGAGGACTCTGAACACCCAATGATTTTTACCTTCGAGTGACAACTTTGAGACTAACTGCTCTCCACTCTTAGAGATGTCTGCTCACCGGACAAAAGATTATAGCCTGACCCAGAGTGACCTTTCCAATAAAGACCCCTATAATTTACCAGTATCTCATACATGTGTGTTATGTGGTTAGCTGTCCAACTAAAAACATGAAGCACTCTGCTTCCTGCCTCTGTAACCCTCTGCTTCCAGCTTCCAGATATTTGCACTAATTTGTGTTTCATCTGTATAATGTATTCATAGATCTCAAAACTATCTCTAAGGTTTTACTTTTTCACATTTAACTGTTTATAGGGATTATCATGGAAACCATTCAACTGGTATTCTTTGTCCCTGCCTTATACTGTGTTCCTTCATTTCCAACAATGCTACCAGAATGGTTTTCCTAAATTCAGGGTATCCATATTTATGCTTCCCTGTCTGCATCTGAGCAGCATTTGTGTTCTCGTTCATTGAACAGGCCCTCATTTGACCCCCATTCTTCTCTAGTGTATCTATGGGATCTTGAAATCTTGCTAAAGAGCTGTGGACTCTCTCAGATCCAACCTTTACATAAAGTTTTTCCACCATGGTGTCTGCTGTAACCTTTCATCTCCAGTCTCTGGTTGTCTGGGAAACAGCCACTCATTCTTCAGCAATCACCCCTAAAATCTACATTTTGCCTCTGATACATCAGGAACTAGGGTCTTCTCTGTACTATTTTGCCCCAAACAGATAAGTCTATCATAATATTTAATTCATATTTCCAATCCCCTACTTCATAAATAACTATATGTAGAAAAATACAATTAAGAAAATTTCTCTTAATAATTCATGTTCACTCTAGGTTAACTTATGCATATTTCCAGGGAGGGCCACTAGGCTGTGTGATAAATCGCCATCAAATACATCAGTATATATAAATAAATAATACTAGCTTTTCCAGATTTTGTGAGAACAGTAAGGAAACAGAGAAAGTATGACTCTAATTTTTTTCTTTCTTTTCTTTTTTTCTTTTTTTCAGGTATTACAACTGTCCTAACAATGACCACAATCAACACCCACCTCAGGGAGACCCTCCCCAAAATCCCCTATGTAAAAGCCATTGACATGTACCTAATGGGGTGCTTTGTCTTCGTTTTCATGGCCCTTCTGGAATATGCTTTGGTCAACTACATCTTCTTCGGGAGAGGACCCCAGCGCCAAAAGAAAGCAGCTGAGAAAGCTGCTAACGCCAACAATGAGAAGATGCGCCTGGATGTCAACAAGGTACACTCACAGGGAAAATAGTTCTCATTGCTTAAGCTCTTAGAGTAATGCTAGAGAGCCTGGTAGACTTCTTAACACACAGAGAAACAGGGCCTAAAGAAGAAAATGGTAAGATCCTCCCCAATTACATAGATAATAAGTGAGAGGCAAATTTGACTCCCTAAATGTATCAACCAATGCTTAGATACCCTTTCTGTTAATAATAGGGATGCTCAAACTTCATTACGTGGTATCCACAGAGTTTGTTTGTTCATATATGAAAATCATGTGTTATAATTACTTTAAATTTTTCTAAATTTACTTACTTTAATTTAATAAATTTAAATTTATTTAAAAAGAAAACTTTATCTTACTCAATAATACTTGCTGGAACGTGACATGAAATATAAAATAAAATTGCATTATTAAATTGTTGCTTATGCTAAATGAAAGCTCTGGACCTGAGATGCACATTCTCTTTGATTTAAAATAGAAATAATCAACTTTGGAAATGTGTTAATTACCTACCACCAACAACTTGAGATGTTTTTCCCCTCCAAGTAATCAAAATGATAGGAAGAAGTAGGGAAGAGAGGAGTAATTTTCTCAAGTGACAGGGATTACTTAAAGCCTTGCCTACATACCACTTACCCAAGAGCACTTCCCTGCATGAGTCCCCCCATCCCCAGCCCCCATCTTCATTAAGTCAAGCAGGATCAAAGACACAAGTTTACACACTGTTTCTTCTTGAAGTCAGATTTTCATCTCAGTGGAATGTCCGGAAGAAAATTTTTCAAAGATTGAATTCTGGGTTTCTCTTAAGCCTGGGAAATCATACATTTTAAAGGTTCACAGGATTATTCTAGTTTGCAGTCCAGTTTAGGGATCCTCTCTTCAAGGGTTTTTGTAGCAGTCTCAATAGAGGTGAGCAAGCTACTTTGCTCCAAATGTAAGTTCATCTAGTTTACTATTGGAGTGCTTTCTGCCCTAAACAGAATAATTATGAATGCATTTCTTTATTTTCCATGTTTGAACTTTTTGAGATAAATAAAATAATGCTTCCATTTAACATCCACCCCAGTGTTTATGAAATAGAACATAATACGGGACTTATTAAATAGCTAATTACAAGTGGGTTAAGCACATTCTTCTTCCCCAGGATGTCAGTATGAACTATTTAATAAGTCCCATATTAAGAAGCATGTGCTTAAATCACCTGTCATTATTAACGAGAACAATAATTAACTATGATACTAATATTTTAATATCTTTGACTTCAATTGAATTGAAAATACAGAACATAAGAGAGTTCCACCACGGAAATTCCTGAGTCATGATCTCAATTTAACAATGGATCTGATATTTGTTTGTAGACTAATGTTAATTAAAGTCTCTTCTTTCTCAGATGATGATATTTATAATGATAGATTTTATATTTAATCTCTGAAAGCCAATAAGCATGGAGTATAGGAACTGTCAATTTACTATCATGCTCAGGCATTCCATAGCTGGAAGCCTTAAGCTGATAGACAGCAAACAGCCAGCGTATTGATATGGCTTTCTCAATTTGACAAATGAGAGTACTGTTAAATCTCTGCTTCATGATTGCCAGATATTGCATCCTTAGTAAAGAAAACAAAAAGAATAATGAATAAGTCTGTCTTTTAGGACTGGGGTTTGAAATGAGTTTAAACAATTGCCTAATGCAAGGCTGACTTAGGAAGATAGCATCTGATCCCTTTTCGCCTTCATCTACCTGATCTTTTCATGCTAATTTGCATTTAAATGATAGATTTAAGATTGAAGCAGTGGGGATTTTAAATAAATGGAACCTAAAGGAGCCTTCCAAAGTTTTAAATTCAGTTGTTTCCAGATGGAAGCAGGGAAAAGCTCATGGGATAGACATCTTTGGTAATGAAAATCCATTTTCCTGGCTGAAGGTGTCAAAGTGCAGATCATAGCAGAGGAGAGAACAGAAAAGGATGCCAAGACGGCTCCTAGTACAACGGCTCTCAAAATAGGAGCGTTTGTCTTCCCAGAGAAGTTTTGACAATGTCTAGAGACTGCTTTTTGTGGTCAAGCTGGAAGATGGCTGTTGCTACTGGTGCTCCATGTGAGGCAGCCAAGATGTCAGTAAACATCCCATGGTACCCAGAGTAGATTCCCACACTCTAAGACTCATCTGGCCCAGAGCACACAACCTTCCTACTTTAGACCTGAGAAACAGTGTCCTTCTCCGCTCCCCGTTATATTCGAATGGGTTTCATGACTCTTTGTCCGCATAGTTTGACCATCTTATTTGACCAGAGCCCCAGTCAAGATATCAAGCTCAATAATTCCATATCAAATTTTGAATCGACCAGGTTTAATATTTGGCCATATGTGACAATAAAGAGTCAACCTGTCTGACCTTCAATTCCTCATTTGTAAAGTAGGGTCAATTCTTCTGTATTCATGTTATTATAAAGACATTATTTGAAGGATATTATGATAATGTGGAAAGAGGGTAAGAGAGTCTTCATTACCTAGTAGCCATTTATTATGTATATATAAATAATAAATGGTATTTTAAGCACTACCGCTTTCAAATTAAATAGGCCATCTACATACTGATTGGTACTGATTCCTTTGGTTTTACATGGGCCAGCATCCCCAAAGTAGACTACTACCTAAAAAGGAAAGTGTGTGTGTGTGTGTGTGTGTGTGTGTGTGTGTGTGTGAGAGAGAGAGAGAGAGAAATTACTATTATAGAGAGGGGGATCACCTTTACAATGGCTGTCACCTATAAAATTCCAGCTAACCTATTGTGTCAAATCCTGTCAGTCATTTCATAGGGCAGCACATCATTCTGATTAGATTAAGACAAAAAGATGCCCACGTAGCATTTTGAATGCTGACTTTCCTTTCAGCCCAGCAGGAAAGGTCAGAAGAGATCCATATTCAGCTCTGATTATGCAATCCTCCCTTTTGTGGCAGTATCATACTTAATGCCAGTATTTCTTATCAGAAATGTCCCTTCTTTTCAGGCATAATTCTAAGGTTATTTTCCTCCAAGATTGGACACATAATCAGCTAAGTATTGTTATCTCCTGTAGCAAAGAAAAGAATCAGCTGCTAGAGAGGGATTAGGTTTTTTTTCCCCTGCTTTGATGGCTTCCTAGAGATGGAAAAGCTGGGTCTGTTCAGCTGTGGTGACTCTAAACTGCACAGTCCCAAGGTCAGGGCAGAATGAGACAGGGATGGTCAAAAGGGGAAAGATTGGGTTGCTTCTATTTTTCCTTTTCTTGTCTTTATTTTCTGCTGTTAATTTTTTTGAAAATATTTTTCAGCTTTCAGAGGACTTCCCATCCTGTCACTTCAGTGACACTCAGAACACAAGGCTAATAAGTACAATGTGCAATAACCATAATTATATAGGAAAGCTAATCAAGGACCTAGTACCAGCTCTGGGTCTCCTTCGCCATACTAGAGTACATTGCACAAAGCTGACAAAAGCAAAGGAAAATTACAAATCTCATTTTGTATTAGTCCATCTGTGCAATCAACTTACTCAAACTCCAGCAACCTGCACATGACAATCCATAACTGAGTGCCTCTTTCATCTCCTCTTATGTAACAATCTAAATTGTAAAATACTAAGAATTTAAAATCAACTTCAAACAAAAAGGAGACCTACTGATATTTATCCCAAGTGTCCTCTGCAGTAATTCAAAACATAAAATACGCCCCCACCAATAAATAATGAAAAAAACATACAAAATCTATCTTGGTGTGAGCAATTGCCTATCTGTTTGTTCTTATAGGTGTGTGTGTGTGTGTGTGTGTGTGTGTGTTTTTCCTGATAGAATTTGTTTTTAGTTGGTTTGCTCTCATGGCTAAAGTTTTCAACCCCTGCTTTAAGCTTTGTGTGGCTTCCCAGTTCTTTTCTGCTTGATGCTAAGTATTTGCATATTGGATAATCTAGTCATTCGTGCTTTTTCAGCCTTGGTTACTGCACACTTGAAATCCCTCCCGTCTGCTTTTCATATTGTTAAAACTACAGCCACGTGTTTTCTAAAATGCATCCCCATTTGAGGTTTTTTTATTCTGCATTATGGTGTCCTGACTCTGTACTGTCCCTATGACTTTGCTGAATCTTTTGTGATGCAAAGCCAGTAAGACCTTTCCAATGAACTCCTACTGCTTAGAATTCACTCTGAAAATTCTTTTGAAAACCAGCTAGACCAACTAATCCACATTCACCCATTCTTCGTTAGTATTTGTCTTTTTCTTTATGCATCCTGAAGACCAACAGCATTTATATATACCAAGCTCACCTGAATTACTGGTGCCATCAGTCAACTCAATTAGTAAATTCTCTACTTTGTCTTCCAGATATTTTATAAAGATATTAAACAAAAATGGGACCCAGTATCGATCCTTGTGGGACCCTACTGGAAACCTCTCCCCAACCAGACAGACTACCAAATTGTGATTTCTCTGTATATACTGCTAGATAGCCAGTTTTTAATCCATTTATTTCTATTTTTGTTTGGGACAAATTTGTTTAGCTCTTCCCTTTAACACAACGTTTGGCAACTAAAAAGATAAGTCATTGGTGTCTATCCACATATTTGAGTCTAAGATAAATATCCCCTGAAGACCTACTTGAGTTTTCAATGTGGCACAGCTGTGTGGGCATCAGCTTTAATAAATTATTTCAGTGCTAGAGAATAGGGCAAGTAGATTGCATGTGGATATGCCTATTGTTTATATGGAGAGATGGCAGTATCATGACATAGCTTGACTTTCCTTGGCTTTGGTGTTGGGTGTTTTGAACAGTTGAGTGAGTAAGAAGTTAAACTTTTCTTCTGTTGTTTGGAATATTGTGCTGCGGGAGTGCCTTCCGCTCTTTCAGCCAATAGCCGCTGAAATATCAGCCCACTGGGGCATGGTCTATTTCTCTTAAAAAAGAGTGGCAGTCCTCTGCTTGCTGTCTTGGTTCCAGCTCTTGCTCCAGTGACTAGACTCCTTTCCTGACT